TGTGAAAAAGTAAATAAATAAAACTACCCATCTGAAATATTCTGCAATGGTAGTGTTTCCCAATATGCTGCTTACTGAAGGGATCATCACATTTTTTTTCTCCATGTATTTTTTATTAGTTGGAGGCTAATTACAATACTGTAGTGGTTTTTGTCATACATTGACATAAATCAGCCATGGATTTACATGTATTCCCCATCCCAATGCCCCCTCCCACCTCCCTCTGGGTCTTTCCAGTGCACATTTTTATCTTGACTTTTAATCACAAAATAAGGGAAGGTGACTTAAATAGGATGCACTGCCAACAGAAACACTGGGTGTCAGGAAAGAAGGATAGATAGAGGTTGAGAAAAGATAGACATTGTAGGACAGAGGAAAAAATGGGTCTGAGTGGGGGAAAGGGATGAAAGTTGAGAATCTGAAGATGTTTCTGGGGAAAAATGAAGCAGAGCAGAAGGAAGAAGTCAACAAGTGGGGAAAGCCCAGAAAAGTCCCTACAATAGTCTCACCAGGACTTTCCTGATGGTCCAGTGGTTAAGACTCCACGCTTCCAATACAGGAGGCCTGAGTTCAATCCCTCATGAGGGAACTGGATCCCACATGCTGAGTGGTATGGCCAAAAGAAAAAAAAAGTCTCATCTCTTTGACCCTTTTGGCCAAACCCCAAAATAGCAGGAACCAATGCAACTGGCTTATTAACTGACAATCCCTATAAATCTTAAAAGAGAATGAAAAAGTTACTGGAAAGGCAAGTTAAGAAGTGCATATTAAATTCTGTTCCGGTTCCCCTCTCTTCAGTTACACGTGTCTTGGTCTCTGGCCCTGATTCATGTCCAAGGGCATGAACATCATCCCTGGGGATTCCTCTGCCACCCCCACTCCAGCAGCTCGTCCCGCACCCACCATAATGTGGGAGCCAGCTCTCACAGTGCACTAGAACGTGCGGTCTGATCACAGGTGTCTGTGCTGCCTCTGAATCATGTTCCCTGGATCAGGTGAGGAACCCCCCAGAAGCACAGGCAGCAGACTGCTCTGCCCCCGCAGACCACTTTAAGGTCTGGAATCCCCCTCCAGCACAGACTCCCAAGCAGCCCAGCCACCTCCAGCTCTGGTGCAGCCCTGACTTGTCACACCACGGAAAATCAGAGGCACATATCTGGACTCGGGAAACCAGATGCCCACATGCCCCACCCCATCAAGCATCTGCCTTCATCAAAACGCTGGAGAAGATTCAGTCACCAGGACAGAGGAGAACCAGGGAACATAAGCCTGGACCAAGAAGCCAAGTTCCTTCATAAATTTTAGCTACAAACCTCTCCATAAACAGAAGTTAGATGAAGCATTTAAGCCCTGAATTATCTCAGAGATAACATCGGAGACAGGACCCGAGCCTGAAATGTGTAGGTGGGCACAGATGAGAGCTCAAGTAACTCTCCAGCTTGTTCCAGTCGCTCTGTTTGAAATGAAATTGAGGTCGGGGAGCAACATCTGCAGACAAAGGCTCTAGAACCGCCAGCTTCCCCAGAAGATGCAACGAGAAGCTACAGAAGATGCTGGGAGATCACAGATTAGGTTTTGATTCCGAAGAGGGGCAGAAGGAAAAAAAAAAATCAGTGCAGGAGGGATCAGAAAGCAAAGAGACTTCATGAACAGTGCCCACAGATATAAGCTGTGCTGAGCGATCTGTGCCCCACCCACCCATCACCTGCCCCTTGAAACTCTAGAGCAAGGGTCCCCAACCTTTGAGCCACAGACTGGTACCTCCTGTCAGATCAGTGGTGGCATTAGATTAGAAATAAAGTGAGCAATAAATGAATTCGCTTGAATCATCTGGAAACCATCCCCCAGGTTCTGGTCCATGGAAACAGTGTCTTTCACAAAGCCGGTTCCTAGTGCCCAAAAGGCTAGGGACCGCTGCTCTGGAGGAAACCCTGATAGAGGTTCACTTTAATGAGATTTTGATTTCCATCAACCCAGTCTGGCACTCCTTGGATATAACCATTAAGTTTTTATCAGCAGGAGTCAGGCTGCTACAGCCCCCATCAACCCCAAGAGCCCTGAGGTTCTTAACAAATGCATTTTGAGATGACACTCCTGGGGTCCCTAGGCTCTTCCATTCCATTAGCTTGAGATTCTGGAATTCTGTTTTAACTGCAGGCAACTATGATGCTTTGGATGAGGATGTAATTCCACCTTTTTTCCCCCAAATGTGCAGCACAGATTTAAAAGACATGTGCAGAAATGTTTTAAAATCCAAAGGGCTGTGTTATATGGAATGTAACTTTGGAAAGGGTTAGGAAGACAAAGAAACACAATAACTTTTATGATGCTTAATGCTCTATTCTCCAACCTTCAGCCAAGTTCCCCAGTAAAAACGGCTAAAAGGAAGGGTGGGTGGACAACAGAGTCAGGTCCAGGAAGGGACAGGACGACCACTCCCCGCAGAAGGCAGCAAGGTGGGTGCAGCAGTGTCCAGATATTGCGTGGTCTCCCGCCTCCCCCACAAATAGTCCCCATTTCAACCTCTCACCACATCTGACATTCTACCTCAAGCTTTGTCCCTCCAGCCCTTAAAAAACCCAGGGAAAGAGTGAAAATCTGGAACGAAAATTAGAAATTTACTAGAAAGTCACCTGAAGAAAAAGGTAAGGCGTGAATTTCAGGCACAAGAAAACGGTTCAAGTTTCTTACCCACTCCTTCTTGGAATGAGCCCACTTGTTTGCAGAGGCTAGAAGCAGATTCTGGCGCGAGAAGAATTCTAGGAACTTTGAGAAGCACCCAGTCTAACGCTGAGGTGTGCCCAACGCCTAAAGCGGTCACTGAGGCTCCGTCCAGATCAGGAGAAGTCAGGGAGTCTCATTTTTCAATGAGACTTCTCAAGTAGAGAAGAAAAAGGCAAGGAAAAAAGCACATGGAGTGCCTTCACTCTGCACCTGGACACGCACGCCTCTCCCAAGCCCAGATCAGGCAACTGAATGTTTTTTCTTTTGTTACAGAAGACACTGGTAGAGTCATAGGCAAAATTCAGAAAAGTCGGGACTTCCCTGGTGGTCAGCGGTTAAGAACCTGCCTGCCAATGCAGGGGATATGGGTTCAATCCTTGGTCAGGGGAGGTGACAATGCCATGGGGCAACCAAGTCCATGCAACACACCTACTGAGCCCACACTCCACAGAGTCCAAGAGCTACAACTGCTGAAGCCTGTGTGCCCTAGAGCCTGTTCTCCGTAACAAGAGAAGCCCCCGCAATGAGAAGCCCGTGCAACTGCAGCTAGAGAATAACCCCTGCTCATCACTAGAGAAGACCCACATGCAGCAACGAAGACCCAGCGAGGCCAAAAATACAAATACAATTACAAATAACAAATAACAATTACAAATAACAAAAGTACAAATACAAAAAAACAAATACAATTTTTTAAAAAATTTAGTAAGGTCTGCAAATTAGGAAGAGGATTGTATTTATGTTAATTTCTCGATTTGGACCACTGTATTGTTATTACAGAGAAGAGTGCCCTTTTTTTTAAGGAAATTCACACTGAGGCATAGAAAAGTAAAGATACATATCATCGGCAACTTACTTTTTAGTGGCTAGAATATTATAATAGGCTTATACATACAGAGAAGATGGGGCAAACATCGTAACAGCATTTGGAGAATTTGGAGATAGATGAGAATTTTTCATACTATTCCTGTAACTTTTTTAGAAGTCTCAAACTATTTCCCAAACAATAAAGAAAAAAATACAAATACCTGCCCTGAGAAAATTAAGATGTGAGCAGGACAGTGTCAGAGAATTAAGGTGTGACCAGCCCTAGTCTGGGGAATCCAGAGTATACTGGGTGGTCCGTTCAGGTTTGAACAAAGGACCCCAGGCAGCTGCCACAGTGGGCAGAGCCCACCAATGGACCTTGTTCTGCGATACCAGGGTGGCTTCGGGCAGGTCATTTACCTGCTCTGAGCCTCAGCTCAGCTCACCCACATGAAGGGCATAATGATACCTACTTTGTGAAGATTTCATAAAGCGGGTAGCAAAAGGTAGACACTGATAGAATCAGAGCAGAGTAATGACGGTGGGTACTACAAAAGTAACTCAAGCCCCCTGCCCCTACAGCTGACTCTGGGAAACCAACATCACCCTTTAACCCTGGTGACAGGGGCGGGCAGTGGGGACCTGGAGGAAATGTGAAATACAGACCATTCGTCATAACCTGGACTGGCTTCCCATCACCTGAACTGCCTCATTCTTCATTAATTAATTGAACCCTGGGCAACAAAGCTCAGTGAGGCATCAGTGCATCTCTTCTAATACTTTATAATTCCCTATGACATGACCCATCTCAAGCCATTTTCACCTTTATCATTTAATTCAATCTTCCCTAATAACTTTCTATCTGCTTATCAATAAAACCTTCCTTCAAAAGGACTAGAGCCTCTGCAGGGAGTTGATTATTATCTCGAACTTCTTGATAAACAACTAGAAATGCTTCTGCTATGTATCTCAGAGAAAATCTCACACTGGGCCCTGAGGAGACAGGAAAGAGGAGGGCATGGTGGCCCCGGGCAGAGAGCAGGAGGCAAGGCGGCTGTTCATCACGGGAGGAGGTGGGGATACACACCACAGGCACAGTTAGAAACAGCGGACCAGATGCTACAGAGCAATAGGTCTTGCAAACACAACATGGAGTGCAAAATTCACAAAACAGAAGGCAACGGAGAACTGAATGCTAGCAAGTCTCAAAGGAGTTCCATAGTACTCACGAAAATGTTAAATTGTTGATAGGAGGGCACACTGCTAATGGGTGAAATGAAAAAAAGAGAGACAGCCCACGCAAGGCTGAGAAGGGGTAAACACAGAAGCGCACGGATAAAAGGCAAGATGGACAGATTTAAAGGAAGAAGGTCACCGTGGACAGACATGCACGTGCGCACAGCGGCCAACGCACACTCGCAGACCCGCGCGCGCCGCCGCCGGGGAGGTCTTACCCGAGGAGGTCTTACCCGAGGCCCCCGGCCTGCGGCTGGGCTGGCCGGCGTGGTGCAGGCTCTGCTGGAGCAGGCTCAGGCACTCCCCGAGGCAGCTGAGGGTGGCCGCAGAGGTAGCTTTCAGGAGCAGTAAGTCCTGGTCCAAGGCAGTGAGGGGACCAGACCCCGGGAGAGACTCGATGGCGTGCACCAGGTTCTTCTGCTGCCCCTCCACCTGGGTCATCATCTGCAGAAAAGGGAGGCAGCGAGGAGGTGAGAGTCGGAAGGCCTCACTTCCACCATCCAGGAGCCAGCGCTTAAACCATGGGAGTGGATCAAAGTGGGGTGCAACTGTTTACAATAGCCAGGACATGGAAGCAACCTAGATGCCCATCAGCAGACAAATGGGTAAGAAAGCTGTGGTACATATACACCATGGAATATTACTCAGCCATTAAAAAGAATACATTTGAATCAGTTTTAATGAGGTGGATGAAACTGGAGCCTATTATACAGAGTGAAGTAAGTCAGAAAGAAAAACACCAATACAGTATGTTAATGCATATATATGGAATTTAGAAAGATGGTAACAATGACCCTATATGCGAGAGAGCAAAAGAGACACAGATGTAAAGAACAGTTTTGCACTCTGTGGGAGAAGGCGAGGGTGGGATGATTTGAGAGAAGAGCATTGAAACCTGTGTATTATCAAGTGTGAAACAGATCACCAGCCCAGGTTGGATGCATGAGACAGGGTGCTCAGGGCTGGTGCACTGGGAAGACCCAGAGGGATGGGATGGGGAGGGAGGTGGGAGGGGGGTTCAGAATGGGGAACACATGCACACCCGTGGCTGATTCATGTCAAAGTACGGCAAAAACCACTACAATATTGTAAAGTAATGAGCCTCCAATTAAAATAAATTAATTAATTATAAGAAAAAGAAAAGTGTGGTAAAAGACAGCATCGCCACCCAGACTACGGGCAGCGTGAAGATGCAGTCTGAGGATGCTTGGCACACACCCGTCCCGGGATGCCGCAGGCCTGGGATGAAATCCACCCGGGTTCATCTACCCAAAGACACTTGACGTCTGCAGCTCTGCACACAAGAGAATCTTAGAACTTTAGACCTGAAGGGGACCATCAGGCCATCCCGGGTGTATCTTTTACAGGTCTTTGAAAGGTAAAAATACACACACTAAAAGTAGAAGTCTTGTGATCAGCTTTAAGGTCCTTGGACCACAGGAAGGTTATCTGAGACAATGGGCACCCCTGGCTTTGTCTCACAGCAAGGTTAATTCCTTGCTTTTCTTCTGTCTCCTGTCTGTCCCTGATTCCTTGGTGGTCCTCCTTGAAGTTCAGGAAATAAAAGTGAAATCTGGGGCTAGCATTTGTGGGGGTGAGACCACACACAGCAAAACCAGTGCTGAGCCACTCTGCCCCTAAAATGCTAGGAGAGCCCTCAACTTCCTTAACACCGTGTGTAGGGAGCCAAGAGGAGGAGAAAAACCCGGAGTTCGAGAGCCAGCCCTGCTCCACTGCTAACGCTGTGACAAACCAGTAACCCCATGGCGGCCTGGCTTCACTTCAAAAGCTACAGACAAGCAGTGTTTCCTTGGACAAATCAAGGAGAAAGGAATTTAAGAACTAGAAAAGGACTTGACTGGTGATCTTGTGAAGTGCATCCTCCTCCTGTTTTTATACCTTATCTTGCTAAACAACATGATGAGCATAAATTGCATGGCCAACCAATAAGCAGTTGAGCTGATATGTGGAGGAGCAAAAGCAGTCCGCCCAAGGTCACAGGTCAGCATTAGAGGCAGGAACCAACTCCTGCTCCCTGGACTCCTTCCCTGTTCTTTAAGCATCTCCCACAAAAGCCATCCTTAATTTGAAGGAGTTGCTCCTGCTTTGTCACCATTATCCCCAGGAGGATCCTTGTGACCATCACGATGCCACCAGCTGGAGAGAAGCAATACCTCTGCAAGGACCGCTGGACCCAGACACAAAACCCATCCCATACTTGGGCTTCTCTTTCTGTTTTCCTTTGAAGACAAATATCTTCTATTTCCTATCACTCTGCAGAGTCAACGCCTTAAAAATAAACACTATGCCCACTGCAATCCTATCTAACCAAAATTGGTGCCATTACGTCAAAAAGATTTTTTTTAATAGTAACATTAAACATATTACATGCCCATCCTCTGGCCATGTAAGTTATTTTCTGCTGATTACAGAGGTTATAGCTAGCCATTCTGGCTCCTAAAACAGTACCTAAAGGCATAATAGGGGCGCAGTAAGAATTCATTTCTTCTTCAGGTCTTTGCTGAAGGGCTGCCTTCTTGGGAAAGCGTCCTGCCCCACATAATTTAAAATCATCCGTACTAGCATGAAAGCAGGAACCATTCTATTGTGTGATTCACTGACGGATCCCAAGCAACTATCTGCTGAATGAATGAAGGAACCCCCAGGGTCCCCTTCTTTTCACTGAGGTGCAAAAGGATCCATTTATGACACAGAGTCTACAAGAATCATTACAGTCAGTTAGGACAACATGGCTGAAGATTCAGGAAAAATAATACCTCTGTTATCAGTTTAAGTTTGCCAAGAAAATGGTTAAATTTAACATTAAAAAGATAAAATGTTTACATATTCATTGACAGTCAACTCTATGGAGAACTGCTAACGTTTAGAGAGAAGTTGACCTCGAGCTACTTGTTGTAGTCAGCATTTCTGTAAATTCCTACCATAATATCTTGTCTCAGAAAAATGATGTGTTGAAAGAGAAGAAGAAAAATATAACAACAGAACGTAAATCATATGTTCTTGACTATTACAGATGATGCCATAATGCTTAAGAGAAAAGGTAAATAAAATGAAGCCATTAACTAAGGAATCCACTCATTTTTAAATTTTTATTTTATCTTGGGATATAACTGATTTACAATATTGTGTTAGTTTTAGGTGTACTGAGAAATGATTCACTTATGAATCTACACATACATCCATTCTTTTTCAGATTCTTTTCCCATATAGGTCACCACACAACACTGAATAGGGTTCCCTGTGGTATACGGTAGGTCCTTGGGGATTATCTATTTTCTATACAGTAGCTGGAATATACTCATTTTTAAATCAACAAAAAGAACTATATCCCAATTATATAGCATAGGATAAATAATTATTTCACAAGCATAAAATATGATGCAAATCTCAGGCAAAAAAAGACACAAAATTGGGACCCCTTCCCCCCGGTGGTTCAGTGATTAAGAATCCAGTTGCCAATGCAGGGGACGCTGGTTCACTCCCTGGTCAGACAGGACTAAGATCCTACAGGCTGTGGAGTTGCTGAGCTCAGGCTCCACAACTACTGAGTCCTCACTCGAGACCCTCTGAGCCGCAGTTACTGAGCCTGAGCATCTCGAGCTGGTGCTCCGCATCAAGAGAAACCACCACGATGAGAAGTCTGCACACCGCAACTAGAGAATATCCCTCTCGCTGCAACTAGAGAAAGCCCATGTGCAGCAACGAAAACCCAGTACAGCTAAAAATCGATGAACACAAAGCTAACTCCCCGAGTCTCCTACCCTATTACAACAGAGGCATGCACCCAGAGACGGGTGGCACGTACCTGCTCCCTGGAAAATATCTGACAGTGTTTACTGAGAGCCTGTTGCCAGCGCCAGAGACAGCATGGCCACCTAGAGGGGACAGCGGAACTGGCGGTGGGTGGATTTGTCAGTTACAGTGACTGCAGAACAGCTGGTGCTGAGTGGGAGGGAGCGGGCGTGCCACATGCCCCACAAGCCCGGGCACAGTCCCACTCAGGTACTTTCCTGCTCAAAAATGCCAATAGCGCCCCCCTGAGTCACCCTGTGCTGAAGACAAGCCAGTGACCAGGCACTGGATGGATTTCAGCATCCTTAGGTAAACAAAGCACTGAAAGGAAAATGATCCCAGCACGGCGCTTGACATGTTAAGCAGACACCTAGTGATTCATTTTCTCTCCCTTTTCCATGTGATGTGAAACAGAACTTTGGTCTTTACAGACACAACTGACACCAACCTTCACTTTCTTTTAGCATCATCAGGCTCCAAAAGAAACTGAATGAACTCTGCAAGCAATGCAGGACTGGTAGCCTCACGCTGATGTATTATGGTTATTGCTGCCCAAACATTTCTCAGACTGGGAGGTCCTGAGGAGAACCTCCCATCAGACTCGGGAAGAACAAGTTTTAAGTGTTTTCATATCTGATTTTAACAAAGGGCATATATGAGATGTCACAAAGCGACACCAAGTCTCTAAGCAGCTCACTCTGTCCTGCAAGGTCCCCACAAGCTCAACACAAGAACAAAGCGTGGCCAGTGACGGTCACCAGCCTTAGAACAGCCTGAGCCACTAACTACATATATTTCAAATTAGGTTTCTGAATGCTTCTTTATTTTATTCTTTGGCCACTCCATGAGGCATGTGGGATCTTATTCCCCAACCAGCGATCAAGCCAGTGCCCCTGTATTGGAAGCACAGTCTTAAGTCACCGGATCAACTGGGAAGTCCCTAAACACTTCTTCTGAAGCACAACATGAATCATGCGTGGTGTTTAAAAACCAGGGGAAACAAAAGGCACACGTTTCACTTCTTGCTGGCATTTCATTTCTACAGTCAGGGGCATCATACCTCGTAACACGGGTGCAAATGGGACCCTCATCGAATTTCAGAGATCTACTCCCTGGACACATCAACTCCGAGGTTCTAAAATAGATTAACTGTAGGTCAAGTTCAACTTCATAGGGAAGCGAAAATTCTATGACCCGTTCCTCATGGCGCAAACAATGGCATAATCAAAGTGTAGGTTAATGCTAAGAAAGTCAGTGGCTGCAGATTTTCTTTTTTTCTTTCAGCAAAGCTGAAACCAAAGCTGAAGGCAAAGACCAAACCCCAGTGACATCAGCTCCACAAGATGAGATCCAGCTAAAGAAGGACTGGAGAAGCAGTGACTGCACTTGCCTCGATCACTTTAGACTGTTCTGACCTGCAAAGCTTGGTGTAGGTTCGGAGAGGTGCCAGAAAGGTCCCGTCCTGACAGGTCAGACATCAACAAACACCAGCTCATCACTCATCCATCCACCTGTAACCAAAGTATCAGCCTCATGCACAGCTTTCTTATCCTGTCACCAGAGCTGCCGGCCTTGTTGGCAGAACCTCCTGGGCTCCCAGACAGCACGGGACCTTCAGTAATTCAATCTGT